GAAAGAAAAGTTAAGTGAATTACTAAATGTCAACAAAGTTCCAAATGACGCAGTTTTTAAGTAATTCTGATGTCAGTAGTAACTGTAAAGTCAAACGGTATAAATTACCTAAATTGAATATAAAACCTTTTGATTCTCAGTTAATTAATTATTTGCCATTTTGGGCATAGTTTAAAAAGATAAAGATTTAGATGATTGTGATAAGTTCCAATATTTGCTACAAGCTATAGAACCTGGAACTCATGCTATGCATTTATTGGAAAGTTACCCGATAACTCCAGAAAATGATTCAAAAGCTTTGAGAGCTTTTCAAGACCATTATGGGGACAAAGATATTCTTATCAAAGTGTATGTCACGGAATTTTTGAAATTAATTACAGCAAATGTTCAAAGCTAGGTAAAGACAGATTATCATTGTGTGACTTATTTACCAAGGTAGAAACACATTTAAGGTCTTTAGAATCCATGGGGCTCATCAAAGTCTCTTCAAAGAGCCAAACTTGATAGAAGAAATCCCCCCTATATTATTGAGATTACAAGAAAAGGCTATTGCTGTTGTATCCGACATCAGAAGAGCCTTCCTCCAAATTGCAGTTAAGGAAGAATATTGCCGATTTCTGAGATTTTTATGGTGGAAGAAGGCAAATAAAATTAAAGTCTATCAACATAACAGTGTTATTTGGAGCTACTTGCAGCCCTTGTTTACTCAGCGCATTTATAAGATACCATTTGAACAAGTATCCATAACTCAAAACAGTTACTGACAAACTCTTGAAGTCCTTCTATATTGACAACTGTGTAACCTCCGTAGACAGTGCATCCGAATCAGAAGAATTTATCTCAAAGTCAACTGGAATTACGGCTGAAGCTAAGATGGATTTAAGATTATGGCAGTCCGGGCCGGTAAGAGAAATAAAAAAGTTGTCAACTGAGAACAGGAAGTTTGTTTAAAGAAGATCTTACAACTCCAGTTTCGGTTTTTTGGGGATTAAATGGGATAGAAAGGAGGAATTGTTTAATGATCTGCAATAAATTTGAACCTGAAACAGAAAATCCTACTAAACGGAAGAACTTGTCCATAACACAAGGTATTTACGATCCCATTGGTTTTCTCATCCCAGCATTGTTGCCAGCCAAGCTAATGATTCAAGGAGGCCTGGTCAGCTAAGTCAGAATGGGATTTCCCTGCTTCCAGAGAAGATCCAAAAGGACTTTCAGAAATGGTATAGTGAATTGAAACAATTATCTAACTTGAAGGTAAACAGACGCATAGGTTACAGAAATAAAGAAAAATGGTCTACGAATCAAAGTCGTTCTTTGCGACACGCATAATCCGGACCTGCATAAGCAACAGTAATTTTCCTGCGCATGCATCGATGATACGTAATAGGATTCCGGTACGTAGCTTCTAGGAGCAAAATCTTGACTTGTGCCAAAAAATACGTTTGACAATCCCGCGTTAATGTATAACGGACGGTTTAAGCTAAGCTAAAATTATCTAATTATCTATTTCAGTTAATGTTGCAGATTGCGTTGTTCCTTAATCTTCGAACTGGATCCGGCTTATTATTTTTTGCAAACTGTTAGAGCAATTTTATAAAAGTAAGCTTGAACTTTCGATTATGTCAAATAGAATTTCTGATATATATTTACTAATAGGTAAAGGATTTACAAAGCGAAAGTATATTTCGAAGTTCATTAAACAAAAATTGGAATTGCTGCAAAAAATGGATAAAGGCATATCCTTTGTTTATCTTTAACGCCGCGGCGGGCGCGCTATCAATTGAAAGTTGATCTGTCAGCACTATCCTTATCTTCAGGGCAGATGTTTTTATTTTATTTGGCTTATACTTCCTTACTAAATGTAGTATTTCATCTTGATGTACTCCATCTCTGATATGATTTAAATCAAATTCCTTGTCATTATAATTCGCTTACAGATGTTATTGAAAACGAAAAAATTTCGATTGACAAATTAGTCGGTAGACACAGCAATTATAGGACTTGAACTGCAGAACTTTGTAACTGTACAAGAAATTATGTCTGTTTATAGAATTAAAGAGAATGTATTATCCACATAAAAAACAAAACAACTTAAAAACACTTACAAAGAAAAATGTTTAATAAAGTAAACATAAATATTAAGCTTTTTTTTTTTTTTTTTTTTTTTTTTGTAAATTTTGTACCTTTAGATCATAATTGTTCTTTATTTTATAAATTACGGTTTCATATTTTTAATTTTATAATTTCTGCATGCCATCTTGCCAGATTTAAACTGATGATCTATAATCCGGAATCGCCGAAGTCCCGACAAGTCCGGATTAACGACTTTTGACTGTACATGTTTTTTGTGACGCGAGTCAGAATGCATATGAAACAGTAATTTTCCTGTGCTGTGAAGATAATAATAGGATTTCGGTACAGCTTCTAGGAGCAAAATTTCGACTTGCACCAAAAAAAGCTTTGACAATCCCACGTCTAGAACTTCTTGCTTGTGTTTTGGGAGCCAGATTAGCAAACTATATTCGTGAGGCTCTGGATGTCCCTACAGTGCCAGTTTATCACTGGACTGTTCAACAGTTATAGCATGGATACGAAGAAATGACCAATGGGGTACTTTTGTGGGTAACAGAATCAGAGAAATATGCAAACTCACAGAATCATACCAATGGTATCTTGTCCCAGGTAATCTAAATCCAGCGGACCTGCCATCTCGTGGTTGTAGTCCAAGACATCTTATCGAGACGAGATGGTGGGAGGGACCAAAATGGTTAAAAGACGAAGAAAATAATTGGCCCAAATCGGAACAGGTTCCTAATGAAGATTTACTAGTGTCAGAAAGAAAGAAAACTACTATATCATTATTTACCTGTGCAAAGTAGATCAATTCATGAATTATGAGAGAATTTTGAAATTTCGCAGATTTGTAAATATTATTTGTTGGATGAAAAGATTCACATCCAAATGTAGAAATAGAAATTATTTTTTCCCATCTGAGCTCTCGATCGAAGAAAAGAAAGAGGCAGAGAAGTTCCTTTGGTCAAGAATTCAGTTAGAAAATTTTGGTGATTTCTCAGGTACTGTCAAAGGTCTCATTGTTGCAAGAGATCAAAATAACATAATACAAGTGAAAACCAAGTTGTTAGAACGCGGTGACGAATTTTTGTTCAAATATCCAATTTTGTTGCCATCAAAACATCACATAGTAAACTGTTTAATACGAGACTGCCATGCTGGTCTCCAGACTGTTGGTTCCATCCTGCGAGAAAATTTTTGGATTATTCCTGCAAAGCATAACATCCGAAGTGAATTATCATAAGATGCAAAATATTTACTTCAAAACCGTTTGTCACTCCGCTTATTCATCTTCCATTTGACTGAGTCAGAGACTCTAAAGTTTTTGAAGTCGTGGGCATTGATTTATGTGGTCCTCTCTTTCTAAAGAACAAAACCGAGGTATGGATTGTCATTTTCACATGCACTGTGTATCACGCCATACACTTGGAATTAGTGACTAATTTGTCAACAGAAGGTTTCACTATGCCCTCAGGAGATTTATAGCGTGAAGGGGAAGAATTTCAACAATCTACAGCGACAACGGAACTAACTTCAGGGGTACACCAACAACCTTTTAAAATCTTTAAATTGGAGTCTAGAAAATTCTGAAGACCTAGCTCCCATTAAATGGAAATTCATTCCTCCAACAGCTGTGTGGTGGGGTGAATGGTGGGAACAGCTCATTCACAGTGTAAAAAATCTTCTTCTAAGAACACTTGGTAGATCATCACTCAATTTTGAAGAACTTTCAATGATATCCATGTGAAGTTGAAGCTGTAATGAATAATCGACCTCTTACATATATTTCAGAAGAAATCTGATAAATTTATTCCTTTGACTCCATCATCTTTTATTCAAGACATCCCAGAAATTGGAATACCTGATCTAGAGAAAATTAATTTCCAGAAACTTCGAAAAAGATACCGGAAATGCCAAAATATAAAAGATCAACTGAGAAATAGATTTGAAAAGAATATTTGGCAAATCTCGCTCAAAAATCAAGAGAAAAGGCTCAAGTGATAGAGACGGGTGATGTAGAACTAATTGAACTAGACAACCGAAAGAGACTTAACTGCCAATAGGCAAAGTCACAAAATTGTTTCCAAGTAGAGATGGTTGTACACTTGTGGCAGAGGTAAATCCTCTTCAGGAACTTTTGTACGACCGATTCGTAAACTTTGCCATTTGGAGATATCTAAGAATGATGACCCAGTAATCCAGCCGATGAACTGTATGAACACTTTTCACAACTCAATTTTAGAACTTTAACTTTTTTTCGCTTGAAATTTTCATAGATATTAGTTTTATTTTATTCTATTATTTTTGAGTAATGATGTAAATTTAATTTTAATGTTTAATTTTCCAGCTTCCACCATAAATTAAAGGTGGAGTATGTTAAATGTTCATCCAAAGAGTTTTTCCCTCACTAGAGGGCACGAGAGAGAAGCTGTACAGTTACCATAGCTACCGAAATTGAATGATTAAAAGGCTCATACACTTAAGCACTACAGTGTGAAAGAAAATTTCTGGAGTAAACATGTTAAGAAAATGTACTGAAGTATATATATTTTTTTCCTTTTTAATGTTTTCTTTATATATATAAAATTGTGATGTCAAGAAATAAAATGGTGTTTTTTTTTCTGTAAAAAAGATTGCCAGCTGAAACATCACGTCAGATTCAACTATGCATCAGAAAAGGTAAATGAATTTAGTTCTTGTTTTTTAAATCAGTTATATAAATAGAACCTTCATAAGTGAGTGGGATTCTGACAACTTGGATCAACAGTAGTTGATTAATTACATAATACTTGGAGTTTTGAGGTGTCTTGTACTATATTTCCTATCACTCATTTAATGATTTATTTGATCATTCAGAATAAATAACCAGTATTACCAGTTATAATACATGTACACACTACTATTAAAAATAAGAAGCATCAGTGTTTACAAAATAATGCAGCTTTATTTTCATTGTAATTGCTGATATATCTAATATATGAGAAAGGATTATAACTTTATGTTATAACTAATTAGAATTATAACTCCAAGTAAATTATCTGCAATAATGCAACTTCACTGTATTGGTCCATGTTTAACAAAAAAAAATACAAATTACTCATCTGGCCACCAAGTTTAAAGTTTAATGTATTGAGATGAGAATTGCATCTTAACGGCAATTCACAACTGCAGCTTTGGATAGTTCTTGATTCCATGATTAAAAAATAGCAGTTTGGCTTACATACAAATAATAAAAAAAAAAAAGCTGAGTATGTTTAAAATTATTAAACAGAATTTAATAAAAAATCAATTTTATATTAAAATGTTTCATATATATGCCAGCATTTGTGAAAACATGAAATAAATATGTAAAAAAGGATAAAAAACAAGCAAAAATTCATACCAGAAAACATATATTGATAATTATTTAACATGATTATTTTACAAATTTACACTATGAAATTCCCTTATACATGCAATGCATTTCTGAAAAAGATTAATGATTACAAATAAACCAATTTGGGAAACAATGTTGTAGATAGAGCTCAAAAGTATATATATATATATTAAAAAAAAACTGACACAGTTTTTCAATGCAATTTATGCCAAAAAATGATGCTGGATCATTTTAATCTTTGTAGTATTTAAAATTCAGTACACTGCTTCTGTCATTCAGAAGTATACAAGAGTTTTATTTTGCTAATTTGAATAACATGCTCAGTTATCACTTCCTTTTGCTTGCCTTCTCTGTAGTGCTTTGGCAAGATCGTTCCTTAAATCCGCTTGCTGTCTTTGCTCAGAAAGAGATTGCACAGATCTAAGTCCATTCACTATGTCTTTGGTCTTCCCAAAATATATTTCATTCAAAGTATTTCTAATTTTGTTCTCCATATCCTAGTGAAAGTAATATATTAAATTAATATTGAATACAAATAAGTAAATAAAATTTTTCAAGACCTTTAATTTTATTTAGTCATTTTTTATTAATTTCAAAACAATTTATTTGCAAAAAAAAAAAAAAAAAAAAAATTCTCTTCTAATTATCCCTTACAAAATTAGTATTTAAAATTTGAGATAAAATATTTAAACTGCTGCACTTCATATTAAAATTTAGCAAAAGTGAAAATGGCACATTGGTCACAAAATCAAAATAGAAAAAAACACAAGCATAACATTTTATTTTAAATATGGCAACGTTTCCATGGAAACCATAGAATTGATACTTCAATTTTAAGGATATGATATTTTTTATGTGATTTGGCTGACTCAAGGAAATAAGATTATTTAATAGCAGGCTAGCTAAAGATGTCACCTGAAAAAAATTCCAAAGATTCAGTTCAGTATGTTCCTCATAATCTAACAATGATTTCAGTTCAATATGTTCCTGTTACTTCCTTTCACTTCTGGTGTACAACTACTAGGAGTTTTGCCATTCAGGCCAATCACAGTAGCAAAAAATTAGGGCACATTTGCATCGCTCCCCCGAAGGCGAAAATGTAAAGTCCATGCAGGGCATGCAGTCAATACTGGCGTAGAAAAGATGAAAATCCTGTAAAATCAGAAAATCAGGGTTAAGTCAGGGCATGCAGTAAATACTGGGGTAGAAGAGATTGAAGTCCTGTAAAAACAGAAAATCAGTATGAATACTGAAAAGTCCTCAATCTTTATAGTTAGAAATCACCACTTTGAGTTCTTTAAGAAACTAATCTTCATTTTCGACGAATTTCATCATCATCATCATGGTTGCTTGAAATTTGACTTGCGAGAATTTCTCAGTAGTCTTTGCTTTCCTCATTTTATCTATGTGGGAGATCATGCAACTTAGAAAGTTCCTTATTTTCACATCACTAAGCCATGTAAAAGCTTCTGTGATACCTTGGGGTGGAGGTTGGAGTTTCTCTAACTTTTTCACTGTAAGAAGATCTTAAATTTTCTTTCACTTGTTCCACTTTCCTTTCTATCTCGGGGAAGTTTTTTTATTCATCTCGGGAACTTCATGCTTGGTTATTATTTTTTTCTTCTCAAAGCGTTTCTTATAAACGCTACACTCTCTATAACTGCAGACGTATTCTTCTTGACAGAAATTGCTGAATCAACTTCAATGCCACCTCGTTTTGATTTCAATGTTCCTCTTGACAAAGTGGCACTGAATTTGATTGAATTCCTCTTCTATTATGTTTATTTTGCTTTAAATTTCATTAATGTTTTTGATTTGGGATATTGCTTGTTTGAAAATTTTTGGTTTTAACATTTTTAAATTTTCTATTGCATTTATAGGATTATTTGAAATTTGTTAATTATTAATTTCAATTTTTGGTCCTTGAGAAATTAGTTCTAAATTTCTTACTTTATGTCTTTATTGATAATTTTTCAGCAGCTTAATGCACAAAAATACTAGGCATGTTTATATAGTATTTTAAAAAAAATTGTTTTGTAATTATATATACAAGTATATATACATATATTTGCAGTGTTATATATATATATGTAAGATAAAAAATATGAAATCATTCTTCTAATTTTAGTTGGATGTAGCCTCTTTTATTTCTTATTTAATTTGGGGACTTCCTCTTTCTATCTTAGAAATAGCATCTAAATTGTGTCATTCAAATCAATCATGCGATTTTACGTAACGCTTACTGCAGATATCTCTTGCGTAATCAAAATAACTGTAAACCAAAACTTAAAACTGAAACTGTCTGACTCCCTCCCCTCTTCCTCTGCATTACTACTGCGACACTCTTTCTCTTATGGTTCATGCTTTTATGCTGTTCAGACGCTGCTTCAATCATGCTTTTTATCACCATAGTATCAAAATTGTAAATGTTCTTTAATAGGCATGAGTACAGTGCCGAGTGATTGTGGCCACAAGTGAATTTAAATAAATAATGGAACTTAATAAAGCTCGACTAATTATTCTTCAAAATGCTCTAGGCATCAAGTATCTACGCAATCAGTAGTAAAAATAAAAAATTAAGGGATTCTCTTATTTTGGTAATCTTTGTCTTCCCCATTACTTTATATATTCAAATATTTTCTATTCGGGGTGAAAATTATTTTAACTCCCCTTCAAGAAAAGTTCCCCAAACTATTAATGACACCATGTCTTGGATACTAGATGAAAATATTCAGAAACTACTTGAAAATATTGTCGAACTTATTCAAAAAATTCAGAAAAGAAAATCTCCAGTCGAGAAATTACGGGCCGGATTTAAAGCTGCGCAGAGACTCGCTGACTTTGACGAAAATGGGAATTAATCATAAGACAAAGTACATAGCTTTTCCAACAACTCATCTGCAAGTGATCATAGCCCAGTGGTAAAGCGCATAGCAGGTTTTTCTCCGACATCAAGATCGTGAGTTATATCCCCCACCGTAGTTTTGGACTTTCTGCGCCTGTAAGGACTTTTTAATTTCGTTTCTCCATTCACTAAATTCGAACTGCATGAAAAAATAAAAAGTGACTTATACTATAAGTCACTTTTTATTTTTTTGCTACAGTTGTGGCGTTTATTGAATTTAACAGCTTTCTTTTATTTTTCGAATGGCCTTTGGCATGTATTTTAGATCCACTGGTGAAAACTCTTTAGTATAGTTGCGTACCAGCTCAAAAGAAAGCACAAGTCACAAACTCAGTTTTGTGTTAATTGAGTTTTGCATAAACAAATTTAAGTGCACAAATAGGAGTGCCAGAAAATGAAATTTAGAAAAGGGGGGAATTAGTAATCTGTGCACTCAGTATACAAAGGAAAAGCAAAATTTTTTAAATTTTTGCTGCAAACTAAATTTAGCAAAAAACCAAAATTACACAGCATCATCTATAAATACTTTCAAAAATTTTACCATGTCTTCAGTGCACAACTCCTGGAGCAGGGTATTATGTGCACCATGAATATCTCGTCATTTGACCCAATTTTTGGTCCAAAAGCACTTTTTTTCCCCCTCTTCTGAAGCAGTAGCTAAGTTAAAAATTGTAGTTGTTGCTATACTAGCAATTTAAAGTAAAATACTCATCCATTATTTCGACTATTTGACAACACCATAAGCTTTGCTTACAAATTGTAAACAGAATGACGCTGTAAAGAGAGGGAACACTTCCTTTCACAGTGATTGGTTGGGTGAATCCCTGTACTAATGAGAAAATCATTCCGCGAGCTATCTCGGATATTGTTGGCCAGATAAGTTGGAAGAAGAAATTACTACCTGTAGACGGGCCTTTACACTTTCATGCAGTTCAGACGCTGCTTCAATCACACTTTTATCGCAATAGTATCAAAATTGTAAATGTTTATATATATTTTCCCATTTCACAGCAAAATCATTTAACATTTGTTTTTATATAGAGCCAATTAATCAAGACTTGAAATGTATTTCTACAGTTGGTTCTAAATATAATGAGATGTCCACATATATCAGTGTCTTATATATTATATAGTATTTATGTAAAAATTTCCATAACCAAGCAGTAAATCAAAGGTTTAAAATATTCATATCTAATTTCAATTTGCTTTGTAATCTTCCTAGCATTTTTCATACATTATACTATAATCTACTTGTCAAATTATAATGAGAATAAAATGTATGAAACAAAAATGCAGTAATAATAATCTGTCTCTATCTCATTACGATGAGGTAAAAAGTTGCATAGATGCCTATTTGCAGAGCACTTGAAAATTATACGACACATTTCAAAATCATATAAAAAAAGTATAAGCACTGGCTGTTTTTCTATTTCAAGTACTACTAACATGCTGCTACCATTGGCAAGTTCTGTGTCCAAATCTTGGTGGTGCATTGCACCTTTATGTCTTCTCCATCAAAAAACCTAATTATTCTAAAAGTGGCACCCGAACTAAAAAAGATGAGAGGACAATAATATGTCACCACTGGGATTTGGCAATTGGTTCCTTTATTCCCAGTCAGCTTTTAAAAGGAGGATTATATAAGGTATTTTTTCTGTCCTTTCCATGTCCCTTCATGCTGCAGCTGGAAGCCTGTCCAACACAAAATTGGGAGGTCCAATGTTGAATATGAGAGAGAGCAGTGCAGATTTCTTTAATTTCCTGACACATACACATACACACACACACACACACAAAAAAAAAAAAAAAAAAAAATTCTAAATGATTCTGCAAGTGGTGCTCGAAAGTTTATTACCATTAAGATTTAGCAATTGGGTCCTCTCCTCCCCCACTGCCTTAAAAAAGAGAGATTATAAAAGTTATTTTCTCCCTCCTTAGTGCATACCTTCATGTGTAAATGGATAGCACATTGAATTAGCATTAGGAGGTCAGGTGTTCAATTTGCAGTGAAGGCATTGCACATTCTCCATGTTTCTTGCTTCCAGATCCTAATGACTCTAAAAGTCTAAAATAAAAGCTAAAAAATAGTACCCTACAGAATGTGGTCCTAATTCTCCATGAATGAATCCAATTAAAGAGTGGATAATGCAGGTGATGAATCCACGTTTCAAGTATTACATGTGTACAACTACCATTGACGAATACACATTCTGTGTATATTACTATCAGATAGGAGTAGCAAATCACCACACGCATCAACTGAAATGGAACGTGATTTTGCAAAATGTTTAGTATGCCCTATCAAAAATGAAGTGACTAGCCCCTTTCTTTTTCTGTAAAAATAGCTTAAATGACAAAGTTTACTCGAATGTGATAGAAATTTTTCATATGTCCCAGATAAAAAAATATGACAGCATCATTTCCTAACAAGATGACATGCTTCCACATTGGCCAATGTTTATATGAAATTGCCTAAATCAGCATTTTCCCAACAGATGGATTAGGGAAGGTGGTCTCATTCCATGACTGCTTTGTTCTCCAAATTTAATTCCATTGGATATTTTTTATTGGGGTTATAATAAAGACTATTGTCTGTCAGAATCTTATTGTAATTTGCATGGACTAAAATAGCATATCACAGCTGCTATTCATTACATAACTCCACAGATACTTGCCAAAGCCCAGCAGAAAATCGAGTATCACTTGGACATGTTAAGCATGTTTTATAGCATTTGAACTACTTCTAAATCTCTTTGTAAAAATGAAATAATTTGTCAATAAATATATATGTGCAATGAAATAAAGCTTTGATCTTTCTTCAAACAAAAATATTTGATTAAAATAAAAGTACAGGGTGTTCAAATCAAATGTACCTAATTTGGAGAGGTCGCTCTGTTTAACAGAGAGTTTAAAGTCGTAAGAATATTGCAAAATTAGATACTAATAATTGCAAAGTTTTTATTAAACAATCAGTGCAATTCCACGTGAGCTCCCTTAGTAGCCCTGAGAATGTCCAGCCGATAGTCCAGTTCCAGCCATGTCCAGTGTAGCATTTCCAGAGTCACAATAGCAATAGCCAAGGTTATGGAGACATGAAGGTCTTCAATATCATGGATGTTTCTCGGGTAGACTTTTTCTTTCACGTAGCCCCAAAAGAAGAAATGAAGAGGAGTCGTATCGGGAGATCTTGGTGGCCACGCAATTCGGCCACCGCATCCTATCTTATCCATCGTTTAGGGAAAGTTGTATCTAAAAATATGCAAACATGCTTGCCCCAGTGAGGAGGAGCTCCATCTTGTTGGAAGATAACAGTGGGTTGTAAATGCTGCATTTGAGGTAATGCATAAATTTGTAACATGTCTAGATAAGTGTTTGCCGTCAGTTAAAAAAAAAGTCCTCACAGACATCTTAGTTAAAAAAAAAAATATTGGTCCTATGACTGTATAATGTGATAGAGAACACCAGACATTGATTTTTGCACTGCTTCATTCCAATTCGTGTAGGGAATGGTGATTTTCCAAGCCCCAAATTCTGCAGTTGTGCTTATTAATGTTGTTGCTAACATGAAACGTAGCTTCATCTGAGAAAAAGATATCGTTTAACTTTCATGTTCATTTTCGATGCGAGATAACATCTCAATAGCAAATGCTGCAGACTGCTGCCCATCATTTGGTTGCAGTTTCTGCATAATCTACATTTTATATGCATGCATCCTCAGTTTTCAATGCAGTACATCATGAATAGTTGATCGTGGCATAGTAATTCGGAAGCTGCCTGCCTGATTGACTGTCGAATGCTCCGAACGAAAGCTTGTCGAACATCTTCCACGTGTGAATCAGAATGTGAACGGTGATCACCTTTGTATCTTTTTGGTACACTTCCCATTTCGAGAAACATTTTGTACCACTTTTTTTATGCTCTTAGCCTGGGGTTAATTTATAAACTGTTTGAAACATTCTTTGCACAACTACGGATTTGTGTTCTGCATACCAGAGAACAATCTGTGCCTTCTCTTGCGATGATGCCATTTTTCTGTCTGCCGGCTCAGAAAAAGCAGGGGTTTGTTAGATGTGAGAAAAAATATTGTCACCAAACTCTACAAATTCAGCTCCTACATGCGGTCAATATCGCATAAGACCCATAACAAAAGATTCATAACAAGTAAGATCCCAGTGTAGTTAATATCTTATTATGATCCATAGTCATTACCAATAATTTTTATAGAACATTAGTGCTATGACCATTTTTTAACATGCCTTCATCTGCCATCAATCCCATAAATGATTTTGCTTACAAAAACATTAATTTATCATAATGCTTAAAACAGATTTTCTTTCTTTGTCGTTTTATGTATGCATGTATTATGTCATTCTATTAATTCTCTCAAAAGTTAAAAACTTTACAGATTTTTACTAAAATTTCAAATGTATACCTACTTCAACCATTCGCCCAATATTTGCAATATGAGGATTGGCTTCATTCACATTTGAATCACTTTCATTCTAAAATAAAAAATAATTATTAAATAGATTACTAGCCTTAAAATACAACGTAAACAATTTCTTAGTATATTTCTTTATGTTTAATTTATTAAATTAAATTTGTTTTACACTTGCAAAAGGAACAAATCTCCAAATTTAGTCATTTTGATACATTTTCCTTTAACGTAACTTTATACTTTTACTGCAGGAAAATTCTGTATAATTCAAAACAGTAAAAGCCTGACTAATTGGCATTCAATTAACCAGAAAGCTCAAAAACACAAAATAATTTTAATTTATAGAAACTGTTGTCCTTCTTCCCACCCTCATAAAAAATTAAGCAAATGAGACTTGTAACATCATATTATGCACTACGACTCAGAACAAACAGAGTGATTTAAGCCAATAATGCATAACATGATGCCACAATACAATCATAAGCTCTTGACCTTGGTTTTATGTAACGATTTCTTATTCTCAATAAATCAGTTTGGTTTTTATGGGAAAGGATACAAATCTATGGCTATTTATCTATTTTTTCCTCATATTTTGAAACATTATTAAAATTTGGGATCTGCTTTAAATACAACAGCATGAATTGACATCTTTACAAAATTATGGGATTCTGGTTTCAAAAGTGTACAATAAAAAGTACAGTGTGATATTTTATTTAAAAATGGATAAACAATGGCAACACAACATGGAAAATTGGAACAAGCAATTTAAGTTTTTTTTATGCTGTAACCATAATTTGTATCTCTTGATCATTAACCCTTTGTTGCGTGCAATATCATTTTTATAATTTTTTTTAACTAAAAATTCTAGAAATTGAATATTATGATCCTAGAGACAAATAATATATGAATTTAAAAAAACCTACTCTTGCCCATTGTTCTGTGGGTGGTGGTCGTACTGTGAAACCACCACGCATCTAGGACTTTGGAACTTATTGATGTAGTAGGAAAAAAAAAACTTACCATTTTCCGCACGCGTTTCCAATAAATGACAAAATTTACGGATTTTAAAAAAATGTATGTAAGAATTGCATTATATATAATTTTTTTACATTATTTTACAAAGTAAATCGTCAGAAAAAATTAAAAAATAAACATTTATGTAATTTTTCTATAGCAGTGAAAATATAAGTACCTACATAATAAGGACATTTGAATAAATGGATTAAAAAACTTAATGAAATAAGGATAAAAAAGAAATCAGTGTATTTTTTTTTTAATTTCAAAGAAATTTTTTTTTCTGACACTGTTCAAAGCATGTTTTGTCTCTTTGGTACATGCATAGACCTACATTGTACATTTCGCACATACATCTTGTTCTATGAGGTCTTCCTTGTGCTACAAAATGTACACTGCCGGGATTTAAGTTTCCACTGGTATATGTACAGCGTTATTTAGTCTCTTTTCACCTGGCACATGAAATTTGTGATTTTTTATGTTAACGGGGGGGGGGGGGGGCTTGGTCTTTTTGACTTTGTACGGATCATTTGTTTCCCATTCATACTTATTTTATTCGTATTTCGTCCCAAAATATTCAGAAAATATTTTAAATTTAAATAAATCTTTTACGCAATTTCTATTTTTAATTATAGCAAAGTATATTTACATTAAATTTAAGCTCTTTATCTATATCCAGGCAAAAATAAACATTCCTATTTGAAAAGCAAGCAAACACCATTGAGAAGCAAACGGCAGTGGTTTCAAGGTGCGACCACCAAGCCTCTAGAGGATTGTAAGCATTGTGACACAATGCTCTGGTGGCGCAGTGGTCGTGCCCTGAAACCACATAGCAAATGCCATACACATAGAGGGTTTTTTTATATATATGCAGTTTAATTACTGCAATTTTTTATTGTTTATGATAGAAATCATGATGTGCGATGACTAACTTTTGATTTAAAGTTGTTTATAATAATAAAAGGAAGTTATTTTGTCTCATCGAAAACAAATTTTAAAAGGCATCTGATCTGAAGTATCAATACCTAAAACATATATGATTCTATAGTCATTTTGTGTTATTTAGATGTAAAAGATCAGTAATCAATTCATTTTCACTCAAAAATTTTGGAAAAAAGAGGAGGCAAAAAATTTGGAAAATGGTAGTTTCAGGGCGCGACCACCGCGCGTTAAAGGGTTAAACAAAATAAAGAATGATTATTTCTTTGAAAGTTCTGCTGAAATGACTGGTGCAAGTTTAGTGGGATCAGTGTCAACTTTCATGGCCAACAGGTTTTCGTAATTGGATAAGATATTTTACATGTTAAATTACTACCAAAATAAATCGACTTTTATGTCTGAAATGCACTTTTTTTTTAAATCCCATGTAATATTAAATACAATACAGGCTTTTTATCTTTAAACTGATAACAAATAAAATGATCGCTTTTTATAATTTTAAATCAGAAATTTCTTTTTTCCATTCATCTGGCTTTTACCATAAATTACATTTTAACTAGCCAGAGTTTTTATTTATCCAGCATTTCTCGAGCTTTGTTGACAGTTGACTTTTTACTGCATTAGCATGAAAAACCTGGTAATTTTCTCATGTGCATTTATTTAATTCAATAACAAATAGTAATCTTCTCTCTAATAATAACTTTTCATAAAATTCGGAAGCATGAACACTTAACAAATATGAACCAAAATTACTTTTTGTTTCCAGTCTTTTTATAAAGTAAGCCTAATATATTATTTTCTAGAGTAAAAATAAAAATACACTTAATCACTAAATAAAAGTCTAAAATAATAATGTAGGGAAAACATTCAAATTGACCTATAGCTATAATATAAATAAAATTGTTGTTTTTACTATAACATGTTAATAGTTTATGTAACTGCTTATCTACTCCCTTTGACGCCTGAAAAGAAATTTACTATTCTTGATATCTGAAATTTAAATCATAAAATATATTCATTCCTTGCATTTTAACATCTTAAGAGTTTAAATTTACATTTAGAGTACTGTATAATTGCAACATCTTGCTACACCTACCAGCTCAAATTTCTTGTAACTAATTTTATAGACTAAAGAATATAGTTCCCAGAAAATAAAATCATAATTTTAATCAAAACCTCATGACATACTGGTCACTAATCCAAAACTACAAAAGCCCTACACAGCATAAAAATAGACTGTAGTTATTCACAAATTGTGTTTCCCTTGAAGGGGTGGGGAGCCCTAGCATGATTTTTCAAGTTGCTCATTACATAATTTTTCAAGATGCTCATAATATTTTTCATAATGCTTGGGTTCATAAGTTACTACTGTCAGCTAGATTTGCTGCTAAATGACCAATTAGAAAGCACACTCAACACATATACACACTTGATAACAGACATGGTTGTGAGTATTTAGAATCTTCACAATTCAATACACAGTGCATTATAATAGCATACTTAATACACATATGTGAAATAAAGAAATAGTTTCTGAACTGTGTGCTTACAGTTTTAAATTGCTTTTGTATTGCCCATGATTTTTGACAGATTTTTTTCCTACATCTATCTCATAACTCTTTATTTAAATCTTGATTTAATAATACAATTAAAAATGAAACATTGCTTTGATCCCTAAATAAGATGCAAATAAAAAAAGAGAACTGTTCCATCAAGTACAAGAAAGAAATCACGGAGGACTTCTCGGATAAGAATTTTAGACATCTACAAAGAGATTTTTGAATGGTCTGAGAATGGGAATACTCTATCTCTCAATCGATAGGTGATAGAAATGCTACAAAACATAAGTCTGAATCCCATTAGCAATCAGTATTGAATTGGATTACATGATCTATGACTAGACTGCTGACATAAAAAAACAAAAGTTGGGGTTCCTCACTGACATTCAAGCATTTGCTTTTACAATGGCAGAACAATTAGGCATATCCCCAGAAGAATTCAAAGCAGCACAATATCAGTTGGAGAAGTTCTTTTAGCAATTTGAACTGTTTCTAAAAAGATCAAAACTCAGTTTGAGCAGCAAGATGTTAAAATTATTAAAATGTGCACTTAGTTTCAAGCATCTTGTTGAATGTATTGACTTTTTAAAATACCACTTCTCCAATATAGTTGCTAGTGATGAAACTGCATTGCACCGAGAATTTCAGTGACACTTAATCAAATGGGTGGCTCACCATTCTCAGCTGCTGCGCTTTTGCAGCTGAGGATGGGGTTTTGATAAAACCATCGAAACTAGTCCTGTGAAAATTTGAAAATATAACGCTGATTTTTGTTGTTCGACTTCTGAATTAGTATTTGTTCGGCGTGTTATTGTGTCTTAATGATATGACTACTTGAATAACTGTAAATTTTTAACATAAATAAATATAATGAAAAAATGGAGATTCTTCTGAATTCTTCCGATTCTTCTATCTGAATAATATAAATTGTTATAAATGGATAAATATAAATTATTGTGCATGAAAAAATAAGCTCTAATGCATTTTTTTACAGAAATCACATAATATAAACCAAGGTATTACACAAATGAAATGTACATTAAAGATAGCATGACTGTAATCAATATGCATTAATTTTTAACATTACTAATAAAATTTATAGTATTACAGTATGAATGCAAAAAAAAAGAGCATAATATCTCAGTTAAAATATCTTTAAAATATATTCAGAAACATAAAACTGAAAAACTAAAATAAGAAGTGTTTAAAAGACAGAAATATGTCTATCACATAACAAATATGCAACTTACAATTACGTAACAAGATTTCATATGTTGAAACCAGTTAATTTATTTTGTTTGAAATTTTCCAATTGTCTCTTCAACATACTTACCATATCAATTTTAGCTGTATTCTAAACAAAACAACAAAAAGTATCTTTTGACTAAATTACTATATAAAATGTGACAATTCAGAATTAACCACGTATATACATATTTAACATATTTATTTCCTTGTTTGGGTAAAGTTTGTTTTATTTTATGAACTCAATTTTTGTATACTGCATCCTTTAATTATTTTGTTGTGATTTGTCTAACACTAACATCAAATCAAATCCATAAATTTTATCATGGGTAGCACATATCATTGGCTTAAGCCTTGAATACCTCAGAGATAACAGTACAGATTTATATAGCTCTATTCCAATTTTGAGAATTTCCTGTGCAGGCAACATTCAAATTATTCAAAAGAGTATATATGCGTTATCAAAATATTTTAATAAAATAGTGATGTTAATGATATAAACTAACCTGTCTTGTAAGACTGCCACCTAAATTCATTGTACCAGAACCAGATTTATTGGTCTGAAGCCATAGCATAACGGTGGATGTTAATTTATAATGTGCACTTCGACCACTAGATTTTTCCTAAAAAACATAATACATTTCAAAATTCAAGCTGAAATAAACAAGACAAAAAGATTATAGTATTACATCACAATATTATTAAGTAGCAGCAATCTTTAATCATTATTTCCCCAAAAGAAAGTTTTAAGTAACTAAAGGCAGAGATAATTTCATTTAACTTCTGGGTTTAACCATGCTCGCGGAAAAGAGAGTGAAAATTAGAAAATAAATTATTAGATAGACATAATGCATATCAACTATACAAACTTTTCAACTTTACTTTTATACTGTTTTTCAAGTGAAACAAACTCCTTGCATTTCAAGAAAACTGGCACAGTCTTTTACTTAATAATCAATACAAAATTAAGGTTAGATTCTAGTAATTTTTTAAGAATACTAGAAATAAAGGGACAACTTTATGGCAATCTAAAATTTTAAGCAGAAAGAAAAATTTTTTATTGAAATCCAAAATTGCTACATAGCTCAGAATTGCTTTATAAAAGTTTTAAAAGAAAATATAGATAAAATGTTAAAAAACTGTCACATTTGCTATTTAATCTGTTTAACAGACTATTTGCCTGCTTAAGCTCCATGATTAGTACTCAGCAATTACGAAACCAATTCTACTAATGTGCTAAGAAGTTAATCAAAAGTTGCCAAATATTTCTTAAGACAAAAAAATCTATACTATATTGAATTGAAACTTTAAAATTGAAAACTTTGATGTGCATTAAAATATTTTAAAACAATAGAATAAATATTATGGTACTATATGCAACTGTGAAATGCACCTGCTAATGAAAAGAATGTACTGCATTTTTTCACAAATACTGCATTTTATCTTGTAGTAGAAAGTGCAGGAATATGCATCCCATGAAGCTGTACTTTACAAACGGAATTACAAAACGTGAGTAGGTTACATGGATAAGAAAAATCATTTTACAAATGGAGTTATTTTCGGGAATTCATTTGGAGACGATGTCAGGAGGGAAAGCAAAAACTCTTGAAGAGATTTTAAAGCAGATAGCTGAACAGTATCCACTGGCTATAAATACTCTCTGGGCTGATTTTCATTATTATTGTTAAGATAATAAAATGCATATAAAATGACACATTTGTCTAACTTTTAAATTATCTCTGATGCTGCATTATTACAGAAATCTTGCAGCTTGAAAGTAGTTTATGAAATGTTCTTAGATGATTGAGATAACACTCCACATAAGTGCAGCTCTCTTTTATTTCTTTTTTAAGTAAAAAAAAGGTTGACATGGACAGCAGTGTCAAATTGCATGACGAGAATTCTGCAAGTATGATTTTTTTTTCGTAAATTAAAACATATCACTGTGCATATGGGCAGAAGACTGGGGAAAAAGAAAATTATATCCCTTATATATGTTTGTTGAGTTTTTATTTCACTTAATTTGTTGCTGTTTTATGCAATTTTCAAAATTTCATTATGAATTTTTCTTGTATTTTTAATTTTATTACTTTATTCCTGTTTTCTCCAATTTTCAGTGCCTTGCCATTTTTAAAAATGGCTACTGCATTTCATATGTTACATTCTCGAAAAATTAGTTGGCAACGACTGGGCAACTGCGGGAATGCTGGGTGGATTATGGGATAGTACCAATGTTATTACTATCTAAGCATAATTTATATACCAGAAAGCAAAAATAAAACATTGACAGTATGCTATTAAGAACACAAACATAAAATATAAGAATTCAAAAATTATGCATGAAACATATTTATATATATGTGATGAACCAGCTTTTGTCAGGAATAAATAGATTGTTGAAGAATCATAAATGTAGTCGTAGCTTAAATTATCAGACGATAAGTTTAAAAAACAGGATCCATTTATTATTGGTCAGGAAAAATAGCAGTTACAAAATCAGATATCTGGAGTAAATAAAAAAGAACTAATAACATTTTGTATGAAGTTTACTGCATCGTGACATTTGAGAAAAAGCCCCGATATTCTTTTGCGAGTCCTTTTATAGCCTCTGGAAAGGTGGAGCTTCCAAGAAATGATGTCAGCCAATCCAGTTTGCTTTAAATATTTCCAGAACATTCTATAACTGTACGTGTAGAAAAGGTGGGAAAAACAACTTGACTACGGGGCTGTCGATTTAATTCCACGTACTTTCAAATAAGAGAACGTCGCCATTAAAAATAAAAAGAACATACAGTTAGAATTTTAAGTGTATTCTTGACTATGGAATTTTATTATACATATATATATCGAAAACATTTTACTTGCCGCAAATGAAAAGTTTTTATGCTGAAATAATAAACAATAATGGCAATATAAGCATGTTAATCAATGAGAAACTATATTAAATTTAGCAACAATACTGTTGCATTCAAATTAAATTATGGTGATAGATTTCAGTGATGAGCAATTTGAAGGGATTCTTTTTATCGTGTACGTATTATGCATGTAGTTTTCAACGTTTTATACTTTTAACTATTATATTATTATCAAATTCCTTAATGAAAATTTTTAAATGAAACCTAAATATTATTTCAACTGCCTTCAAACTGATTAAATGAATGTTTTAAAACTTTACTAATACTATTACTGAATACATAACAAATGTTGAAAAATTAAATTTCCTTTTCATATGAACAATTTTAGTTTGTTTAAAAAAATTAGGAAAAACTCTGAACTCTGTCAGACTAGGAGAGGAAACTAAAATTCTAGACTATAAAAAAACCCAGTACAGTAATTCCCAGATGGCCATAAAATTGGCAAGACGAGTATCATGTATATCACTCATGACCTTGCTAAATTTTTCATACTTATCTAACTAAAGATGCACAAAATGACAAAAAATAAAGTTGGTAATATTTTTAAAGAACTCAAAAACAACAAGAATGAATCAAGGTCAAACTTTTGCTTTAGAACATTAGTTTTGGCTCTTCCACTTAGAAAAATCACCAAGTTATCACCAAGCAAGAATATATTCTAAACCTTTCATATTTAAAGGTCCTCAGCATTTAATTATCAGAAATTATACATAATTTGTTTCTAATAATGTAGCAGTTACAGGCAGCATTCTGTTTTCTATTATTCAACTTTCTGGAATTTCATTAATTTCAATAGTATTCACAGTTATATACACATTAAATAAGGTATAAATTAAATGAAACTAATAAATATAATTTTACCTGAACTTCAACAACATGAATGGAATCCCAACAGCCTTTAATTTTCTTAGAACCATCACCTGCTTTTTTTATTAATATCACACCAGCAAAGCCATGTTCTAAATCCCAAAGATATACAGAAGATACGCCACCTTCGAAATACATCTCTCTATATTGGTCAAATGCTTCATTTGCATCTATTTCCAATTTTCGTAGCCTATCGGAAGGCATGGCACCATCATCTAAGGGCGGATCATAAGTATTGCTCCAAGGTGACCTATTTGAAAAAATTTTCATACACTGGTTCAATAACACATTATTAACATTGCCTTTATTATTTAATAAAAGAAAACTAGGCCTTGAGAAAAAATATTGATTATATTCTTCAATTAATTTTTAGCAGATTTATCATAAAAGAAAAAGAACCAAATTTTAAAAATTCGTTAGAAAAAAGTAAAACTGCTATAGTTATTCAAAATATAATATTGCTACCATTTTTCAACAGAAATTATATTACCAAAATTAGACCAACATTTATAATATCTAATAGCATGTTCATCTTTTCAATACAAATTAAATCAATCATAAATTTATCTAAGAACTAGAAACCATACTCTGTAAAAAAATTAATTATATATTATGTGTTACGAGAAGTATGATTTAAAATAACACCATATTGATCTAAATAATGACAGTCTCATATATAAGATAAGATCTCACCCTAATTTTCAAGGCACAATAAATAAAAAGCTGGCATACTGATGTTTATTTAATGTGAGGTTATAACCTCACATTAAATAAGCATTACTATGTTAAAAATGTTCTACAACAGTTCCAAAGGGCCTGCCAAATTTGACGATTTTGTTGCGAGATAATTTTAATTTGGCAATCTTACTTTTTTTTTTTTTTCCCCATTTCTTAGTGATTTTATTTTGGAAAGTTTTCCCTTTTTTAATAGCTGGAATTAATGGGACTGCGGGACATCTGTTTATTTGTGGAATATGTGTCTGTTATTACTGCAGGATATGCATCTGTTTTTGAATGCTATTTGTTAATTTTAAAACTGTATTCTTTCATACAGCAAAAATACAATTCCTGTTTGAGTTCCATTTGTATATCATGGCAGAAAGATATTTAACATTTTTCTATGACTTGCAACAAAAGGGAGAAAGAATTCTCTCTTGTTGAGTATATGCGGTACAAGCTGCAAAAAAGCAACTTTCAAGAAGAGCCTTTATACAAGCCATGAAAAAAGTTTATCCTTTGTCAGAAAAATAAATTTTTCAGAAAAGGTGCAATTTTTTACATATCAGATAACCATTATTTAATAATTTACAATTCATCACAGCAGCTGCACATTGCTAATCTTGTTCATTACTCTGATTTTTTTTAAAAGCAAAAACAAGATCATGATGCACATGGTGAGAAAAATAGAAATACATCATGAAATATATTCAGCAGATCAATAACCAACTTTCAAGAGAGATAGAGCACACCTAAGATGATGGAAAATTATATAGCAATGCATGGTCGGAAACACTTTCCTGGCACAGTAGTGATGACATAAAACACAAGAAAGAAAGGACATGAACAGGGTGAGAATGATGTTTATTAAGCCTAGTGAAGCAGAAACTAGGAAATAAGAATAAAAATGATGACTGTCTTTGAAGAAATTGTTCGAAATTACGACCTGCACCGTCATGCTGGAACCTTGTGTCATGCAACTTCCATGGCTCGGAGATGTGAAACGGATATACTCACAATCATCCTCCCTTTTTTATTCATTATATATCCTACTCACTTTTGAAATAGCCTGTTTTTCATGACATTCTTATCAGTAGGGGTGTCACTTTCCATTCCATCAGTATTTGGTCAGAGTAAAGTAGTGAAGGGATTATGTCTATCATGGCTAGGCATTTTGATGGCATGAGATGAAAGAAAAGACTAGTTTCATAACAGTGAAACATTTTTAGCTGAAATCCATACACTTTTTTTTTTGATAAATTCATGAATTTGGATAAAACATCTTTGAATTCTTCATTTGTGACATAATATGATGTTTAATGATGTAATTTAAACTCATACAGCCCTTCAGTGAAGAAATAGTCACTCTTCATGGTGTTATTTAGTCTCTTTTTTTCACTGGTATAAGCCCATTTACTGGAATATGTCACATACTGCACTGAGTGCAAACTTCAGCAAAATATGATTTGAAACCCCAGATATTTCTCCTTGAACATACTAATTCTTTGAAGTGGTTTTATAAAAACTGTGTTCTTTCTTCTAATTTCCTTCTTTCACAAACCTTTACTTTCAGAGTTAAAACAAGAATGCTCACTTTTTGCAAGTCATATTTCCATAAATTTTGCATTCTTGCCAAATTTTTTAAAAACCTTAATATTATTTTTCACGGACACTGCTGTTCATTTCCTAGACATTTTGACTGAAAATTAAGCTTAAAGTAAAATGTGGAGGCCAACAGTTCAATTAACATATGCTTATGCAATGACAAGAGATATTTTTGGTCAAAAGAATCCAGTATTTATTCTGTCCCACCTAATAATCCGATATTAAATATAAAAAAAAGTCAGGAGTAAATATTCTAAATCATACAATTTTTAAGACTAATAAATGACATATTAAAGAGCATATTTTTAGCAGTTATTTTTAATAATATAAGGAGAAAAATGCTATTTGAAACATTCTTTGTGAGAGGGTTAATATAAATCTTAAAGTTCATATATTTTTACTATAAGATGAGATATAATCAAAACTGCTAAACTCTTAGTATAATACTCTTAGTAAAATCTAAATTTTAGTATATTCATAGTATGGCAATTCAGTTATCAGAGTGGATTAAAAGAATAGAAAGCAGAGATACTGTCTTAATACAAATAAAACGCATAATTAAAGAACAGGCTTGTAGAGATCTGATTCTGGCATGGCTCTACAAGTAGAATGTTGGATTTCTTTTGTCTCCCATGTTAGGGAAAACTTTCCTTTCAAAGGAAACTTGTGTTTGTGAAAAAATAATCACTGGAAAGCAAATGTGCTGGATAATTAAATACACATACTTATTTTTAGGACAGCGATGTTCTATGAAGCAGTTATAGACATGTGGGAAGATGGATTATTGTAGCGAGGTTTATCTATTTATTCTTAACTAATAGTTCCTGTTAAGTTAAAAAGCCTTTTCAATTACTCTCTTTTCAACCATGCTTTTCATGCCAGAATGGTAAATGAGACAGTGAGAGTCTATTCAAATTAAGGTAGAATGAAGAGCTATTTAAGCAAGAGTTGCAGAAGTTAATTTTTAAAGTGTGTCTGCCTATTCCAGGCCACGTTGTGCTGTGATTATTAGCAACTTGCATTAGCGGCGTTGATGTGTTCTCACCTTTAGACTTGTCTCGTCACTTACTACAGACAAGAGCTTTTCCTGTGCATTAAAGTATTCTGTGAGCTGTTAGGCTAACTTACCATACCTTGAAATTATTATTTGTTATGTATTTCTGTTAAGCTAGAAGTGTTGGCTTTCTGTAACCCAAGTTGGGTCATTTGTTAATTTTATGCTCGAACAAAAGAATCTCATACACCCTTCTTCTAATCTCTGTTCTAGTTTCACAAAGGCTAGAAGATAACTCTTCAAGAGTCCTTTTTTAAAGTTTATGTTCACAAAACACCATAGACTTTATATAGTGCAAAACAAAGGTTTCTGAATGAATAACATAAGATTAAAAATTACCTGCCTAATTATCAGCTATTTAAATCCAACTTACTTAACCAAACATTTAAAAGTGTAGCATTGTTTTGACTCCTTAGCTCATAAATTAAAACTAATGTCATCTACATCTAAACACCTGTTTAACCTTCTCATGGTGAATAACACAGGGAGATAATCATTGTTAACTTAGATTCCAAGAACACCAAGTGAATACAATAATAACAACTGTAACTGAATGTTCGTTTGCACTACAGCTTGGTAGTTTAAGAACTAATGCATTAAGAAAACTTTTACTATTTGAGCCTGAGAATATAATACTTTAAATATTTGCAAATCAAATAGTAAATCAGAATCTGTAGGGTTGCCGTTATAACTGGAAATTATAGTTTAAATCCTGCAGATCCTACTAGACAGATAGTGAGTTATTGCTATATCTTGAACAATTCACAAAATTCAGAAGAAGATTTAAATAAGCTTTTTATTTTACTAACAATTTTAACTTGTGCTACAGATGAAATTTCCACAACTTGTGGATATCTTAAATTAACAGAACAGACAATTAAATTTGGACATCAATAACATAGTCTGAGACTACTTATTAAAAAGAATAAATTGGTTCATACTTTTGCTCGGTGCATATTAAAGAATTGGTACATAAGGAATGCAGGAAGCTGAAATATGATTTTTAAATATAATATGTGTCTTGTTGTTAGTATTTTTAGCCAACAGAATTGGCTAAAAATACTAACAGCAAGACACAACTGCCAGAAGTTCTCTTAACTAAAGAATCATACTCTTCATCTTTAACATACACAAAGCTAATTTGCATTCTGGTTAGGAATATGGAAAGATGAAGTTATGTAAAGCTGTAAATTATTATAACTTTATTAACATAATATAGTTTATAAGTCTAATAACTTGGCTCTTAATTTAAAAGGTCTCACTAATGGCTGAGCAGTTAAGGACTGCTGATAGTTTGTTCAAGAAACCAAACCAATCAAACTGGCTGCATGATTTTTGTGGTTCTCCCCATATGAATACAAGTCAATTTTGCTTATAAAAGTCCCCTATGAAGACAGTCCTCAGAAAGCTTCCATGAGCTTTGCCATATTTAAATAATCAACCAGCCTAATTTATGCATGATTTCTAAACTAATACAACCAGAATATCACCCAAACCTAGTGTAGTTATTCGGTTGGGAGGAATATGATAGATATAGTGCGAATGGCTGAACTGCCACTGTCACTCACTTAATTTGAACTTTTTGGCAGAGTTAATAGAAAGATTAGAAGTTTAGCTGTTGAAATTTTGATTGATATAAAATTAGCAATACGTCCACAAAGAATGAGAACTTCTTAATTTTTTTAATTACTTGACTAGAAGAATTTTATTAAATTCTAATATAACAGAAATAATAACATGAAAATAAATGTAACAATAATCATTATTTATTATATTACTGATGATTAGAATTCAGGTCTTAACAAATCACAATTTAAACTTTAAAAATATGTTTATTCTAAATCCTATGTTTAAGTAAAATATATTTTGGGTAC